TGGGCTAGGACCTTTTACTTCTCAGGGAGGGAGATCGCCTCCTCAGTGACGATCTCCCTCCCAATTAAAAAAATGGCACTCATGGGTGTCAGACCAGCCCATTCAGTGCCTCCCCTCCTCCTACCAGTCTCAAGGTGCTTTCTTATACTTCTCTGGTTGTAAGATTTCCATTCAGCTGACTTTCAGGCAGTTATTAATGATGGTTGTTCTGTATTTTAGTTGTAATTTCAATGTGGTTGTGGGAGATGGTGAGTACAGGCATTTAACTACACCACCATCTTGGATCTCCCCTCCAGTGTATTCTTTTTAAATATATTTTTATTGATTTTGAAGAAGAAGGGAGAGGGAGAGAGAGGTAGAAACATCAATGGTGAGAGAATCATTGATTGGCTGCCTACTGCATGTCCCACATGGGGGATCAAGACCGCAACCCAGGCATGTGCCCTAACCAGGAATCGAACCGTGACCTCCTGGTACATAGGTCAATGCTCAACCACCAAGCCACACAGACTGAGCCCCTCCAGTGTATTCTTCATGTCAGATATGGTGTTCTTCATATGGTGACTCCAGATGTCCCAGTTTTGATTTGCACTTCCTTCCCCTGTGGGACTGCACTTGGCCAGCAGCACCAGCAAATTTGGGGAGTCAAATACAGACAGGCCTTTGTTGGGGGTGGTGCAGGCCCTCCTTGGCCATCCCTAGAGAGGGGAGCTAGCCTCTCGCCATCTAGCTTTGTGGTGCCCCACCAGAGATGCTGAAGGGAGGCTTGCAGTGTGTGCTTCCCCCCAGGTCCGCTGCTAACCTCCATCTATTCCCAAGCCACTCGGTTCAATGCTTATCTGAGACTACCCATAGTTTCTTCAGAAAAAGAATGCACCTCAGATCCCCCTTGGGTACAGCCAACAGTTTTCTGTGTGGGACTTGAGCTTGGCAGGGTGGTGTAACCAGTATTTGGAGAACAGGATTAGTGCACTTTCTCTGACTGGTGCTGCAAGAAATGCTGGAACCTGGGAGATGGCACCCAAGGGCAGTGTGGGATTTGGCTCAGGACTGGGACCTCCAAAGTCACCTTCCAGATATCCAGAGCTATGCCACTCAGATCTTCTCTTTATGACTTTCATATGCCCCGAGTCTCTTTCCCTTACCAGAGCTCTGGGTGAGTGTCCAAAAGCGAGTCCTTGTGCATTAGCCCTGAAGGAGGTCACCAGGGATTCAAGCAGACTGCCTCCTCTTGTCAGTGGACAAAATCCCCATTTATTTTTGCTGTCAAATGTTATGCAGGCTCTTCTTCCTGGCCCTGGTCTTCTGGGTTGGAGGTCCCAGCTGGGATTGAGACCCCACTCTCCTCCAAGGAGGGCTTTGGCATCCACAGTATTTCTCTAGCTTCACAGCCACAGCCCTTGAGTACAGGGATCCACCGTTTCTGCGTCATCCTCTACTCTACTATTGAATACCTATAAATTATTCTTTATTTCAGTTAGTGAAATGTTATGCAGGCTCTTCTTCCTGGCCCTGGTCTTCTGGGTTGGAGGTCCCAGCTGGGATTGAGACCCCACTCTCCTCCAAGGGGGGCTTTGGCATCCACAGTATTTCTCTAGCTTCACAGCCACAGCCCTTGAGTACAGGGATCCACCGTTTCTGCGTCTCTACCATTCTTACCAGTCTCTATGTAGCTTCTTTATTTCAACTTTGGATATAATATTCTTGTTCAAGTGTCCTTCTGTTGTTCATTCGGGTTAATTGCTCTACATTTTATAGCTCTAACTCAAGTTTGGTGCAGGGAGAAGGTGTGTTGCTTTCACCTACTCTGCCACCATTTTCCCACTGTATAACCATTGTTTTAAATTTTTCATCTGGTAATTTGGTTACTTTCATTTTATGTAATTATTTTAGGAGTATTTCTCTTGATCTTTCATTTGAAGCATATCTGTGTCTCCCCATTTTGTGTCTGTGTACTAGGTAGATCTTCTATGACTCTCAAACTTGTTAGGATGGCTTTGGGCTCAGCTGGCACAATCTTTGAGATCACCCGAGCTCTGTGTTCCAGGAATGTTTTTTGTGGTTATGTGTACCCTTCTCTTGTAGTTGAGCTTTTAATGCTTTTGGCCCTTTCGTGGGTGTGGTTAACCCCTCAGACTGGCTGACTATAAGGATAAACCTCAATCCCTGTGCACCAGTTACTGCCCTTCAAGGCTGTGTTGCTCCCAGAAGGGTCTGGCACCTGCCTCAATCTTCCTTTGGTTTTGCAACTTGTATGGTAAATTGGGTTGAACTTGATGTGGTCTGAAGCCCACCACTAGTTTTGTTGGTTTGGGGTCCATTTGGGTGGGGTTCAGGTAGAGGTTGATGTCAGATGTTGTGGGTACCTGGCCTTGGGCTACCTGTCTGGAGATACCACACTGTTCACTGTGGCTCCATCTACTGGGCCTCTGTGTACAAGGGTTGACTTCCTCCAGCTTAGAGTTGGAGGCAGATCTGTAAAGATCTGATGCTCTCTGAGGTTCACCTGTAAGCTTTTCCCCCTCACCCAGAGGTTGCCTAGTCTTTCTCCAGAGCCTTTTGAATTAAGACTGTAGGATGACCCCAGGTAGCTGTGAGCCACAGACTCTTCACAGGTTGTGAGCTCAGTAGGACAGAGCAACTGTGTACAGGAGATGGGGCTAGAGGGCCCTTATTGGAGGTTATATGGTCAGGCATCAATGAGAGGAATGTGGACCTTATTCCAGACACTAACCACTCAGATTCTGCCAGTCTCCAACTTCAGCTTTCCCAGAAGGAACTTCTTGCAGGTTCAGGTTGGATGCAACCTGCTGTCCCCTCTGCAGGAGCAAACTCACTGGGTGGAGGCACCTGGCTCAAGAGTACAAATAAAGAGTCTCTTGTTGGGGGTGATGCCAACCCCTGCTGGGGTCCAACCCCAGCAGGTCCAGGGGTCCCCAAAGGTGTGGACAGAGTAGGTGAAGAAGGAAGGACTTGGAGGCTGCATTCAGGTGATCATCATGGCGAGGTTCTCCCTCCAGGATCTCCAGCCAAGTTCTGGTCAGGATCTCCAGCCAGGTTCTGTGTCCATGTTCTCTTGCTAGGTTCTCCAGCCAGGTTCTAGCCCGGATCTCCAGTCAGGTTCTCTTGCCAGGTTCTATCCAGGTTCTGTCTAGGTTCTCCAGCAAAGTTCTGTAGCCAGGTTCTGTCCAGGATCTTTTGCCATGTTCTCTCCCTAGGTTCTCTCTCTAGGTTCTGTGTCTAGGTTCTGTCTGTAGGTTCTGTTTCTAGGTTCTGTTTCTAGGTTCTGATTCTAGGTTCTGTGTTTTCTGTTGTCTTGTTACATCTGTATTTATACCAGTTGATTTTAATCCTATCAATTTCTATTCCAAAGGTTAAGGTGTTTCTTATCTCCATTCCAGGGAGTAAAGATTATGTAGCCTAAGCGTGATTTTTTGTAGTTAAAGTGATTAACTACCCGCCTGGCACTTAGCTAAGGGGTTTTATCTCCTCCCTAACTTCAGGGGAAAATCCCTACCTGGGGAAACAACCTTTCTCAGAGAGGTGACCTTGGTTAAAACACATAGCGCTAAGGGGAGCAAACATATTAAGAACAGTATGCTATATACGCCAGGTCCCTTGAAACATATGCTGTGCAGATGTTTCTTCTCTGCAGCAACTGTGTCAAGCAGCAAGGATGGACCGGCTCCCGGCAAACCCCTCCTAAAGGAGGGGGCCTAGCACCTTCCTCCTGGTTCCAGTCAGTAGCTTCTGAGGGACACACACTATGAATGTCCTAGCTCCCAGAAGCTCTCCCTTCTCCCCCAACCCCTGGAAATGAGCTCAGCAGGGCAGGGAATCAGGGAGTTGGAGGAGCATATTCCCATTGAGGGTAGTGCCTGCAAGCCTGTTGGAGAGGGGGCAGGCTCTTTTTTCCCTTTCCAAGATAGTGCAGGCTAAGATGGCAAGGGGTAGAGGAGTGGCTCCTCCATCATGTAGTCACACAACCCAGCACCCGCCCATTTGATTCCTGAACAAAAGCCCTTCCAGGAGACATGCTTTGAGAGTCCCAGCTCTGCACAGCCCTCTGATTCCCTGTGCAACTGAACTCAGCAGGACAGGGTCAGCCATGTGATTCGACATGTTGCAGGGTGGGCAGTGCCAGCTGTGTGCTAGAGGTGGGGGAGACTGGTCCCCTTTCCAAAGTCACACAGTTCAGTCATTTTCTGAGTCTCCATCAAGAGCCTCCCCAGAAAAAGAGCACCCCAAAGTTCACTGCTGGATGCATTCTGTAGACCCCTCAACAGGACCTGGGCATGACAGAGTGTCCTCACCAGCCATTGGAGGACCAGACAATGCACTCCCTAGGCTGGTGCTATAATAGGAGTGCTTATCTCTGAAAGATGGCATCTGGGTCTTCAGCAGACTCCTTCTCTCCCAGGCGAATTGAATACCCACTGATTTTTCACTACTATATGGGTCCTCTTCCCATCTCTGTTGCTCTGGGTTGAGCATCCTGGCATGAGGTTGAGATCCCGTGCTCCTTGGGGGCAAGGTAGTTTTGCAGCATAGATATCTTCCTGGCTTCTCAGCCACTGCATATAGGTGAGAGGGCCAGCCCTTTCTGTGTCTCTACCCTTCTTACCAGTCTCTCTGTGGCTTCTTCTGTAAATCCTTGGTTATACTACTTCAGTTCAGCTAGTCTTCAGTTGATTATTCAAGTTTGATTGCTCTATAATTTATAAATCTGGGGCTGGTGTCAAGTGAGTATAGCTGCCACCTACTCTACAGCCATCTTGGAATCCTACTGGTTTTTTTCAAGTTGTAGAGTATAATGTGAGATTGTAGAGAGTAATGATGGGGTAGAATTATTGAGGATCAAGACAAAAATTTTAAGTAACCATTATGAGAAGTTGGAAGAAGAACAGGAAAAAAAAAATGTTTGGTCTTTCTTCTCCAATATAAGAAGTAGGTGGTTTATTACATGTTGACTCACTGACCAATTTATTTCTTTTTTCTAGGTCATGTAACAAATTACATATTGAAAATTAAAAAGTTTAATGACTTCTCCATTATTGCCTTTTCCATTGAGGCTGGGAAAAACAAAACAATATTGACAATTTTGTTCAATAATGAGGCATATCATTCAGCTACAACATCTCTGGCAGTGTTAGACAACATCCTCTTCATGTCACTCTCTGGCCCCAGTGCTTCCATTAAAGTCTCCAACAAGCCTCAGCCTCTCCCTCTTTATATTTCTCATGAAGTGTACGTATCATTTTCCTTTTATTGGAATTGAGTCTTCATATATCCCCTTGTAATTTGGCCATTACAAGAAAATAGCTACTGAAATCATCATTTTCTACTTTTATTTCATCATTTATTTGAATTTTTATTTCATCCTTTGTAGGCCTACAGATGGAAGCCGTATAGTATTACATTTGGCTTTTGGCATGGCTGTTGTAGTCGCTAGCTTTGGCCTCCAGACAGTGACTGAGAGAATCACTAAGGCCAAGCACATCCAGTTTGTGAGTGGGGTCTATGTCCTTACCTACTGGCTTTCTGCTCTCCTGTGGGATCTCATCTACTACTTCATTTCCTGCTGCCTACTGCTGGTGAGTGTTAGCTGAAGTTACATGAAGGCTAATTTTTCTATGTCACCCACCAGAAATTCCTAATCAAGTAATTATATCCTAAAATAAAACTTGTAAAGAAGTTTACAAGTTAATTATGTCAAAGAATATATTGTGGAAATGTTCTCCCTCATATTCTTTCAGCTGGAGAAAATATTTGTCTTTGAAAAGTCTCTCAAATTGGTTTCTCATGTAATTCTCAGCATGATGCCCTGGCCAAAACTCTAGGATGGACTATTATTTGTCACTTGTCTCTTACTACCCATATTACTTCCCACTAATTCCCAATGCTGTGTCCTTTGGTAAAATTGGACTATAGAAAACAAGGTAGAATCAAGACCTAAGTAAAGCTTCCTGTTACCATTCACCCCCACTCTCTATAGAACCTCCTACACCCTTTGTGACATCTAGGAGTCTTCCATTGTTGCTGTCATTGTCTTATAATCTAGACACACACACACATCCTAGGACCAACCCCCACCCCACCCCCTCCACACACACACACTTTCATACCTCAAACTCAGGATGGCTAGGTCTGCAAAGCAAAACTAGTTTTGACTCAGACAACTGATTTTAGACATTGAGAAAGTGGTTTAAAGAATGTACATGTAAGGATAGTACAGCATCTTTTAATGTAAAGACTTTGCTCATTAAGGAACTTGGCAACTTCTTTTGTATGCATATTGAAGTTGAGGAAGATATGAAGCTATGCAGTTACAAGGGGTAAACACAGGAGTAAAAGAGGTAAAGCTCCTTTCTTTGCAAGAGTTACTGGGAAATTAAGTCGAATAGGATAACATCTCAGCCCTCAAATAGTTCACTGTTTAGCAATGGACACAGCAGTGAAATAGATCATTATAAAATAGCATGCTAGCCATGGCCGGTTTGGCTCAGTGGATGGAGCGTCGGCCTGCGGACTGAAGGGTCCCGGGTTCGATTCCGGTCAAGGGCATGTACCTTGGTTGCGGGCACATCCCCAGTGGGAGGTATGCAGGAGGCAGCTGATCAATGTTTCTCTCTCATCGATGTTTCTAACTCTCTGTCTCTCTCCCTTCCTCTCTGTAAAAAATCAATAAAATATATTTAAAAAAATAAAATAGCATGCTAATTGCCACTATAATGGATAAACTACCAGTTCAAACTACACCATAGAATGGTAAAATTAGTTGTTGGAGGAAAAAAAGAGAAACTTTCAGTCTATCTGGCTCCAACAACTTGTGAATATTGCACAGGGCCTAATATTGGTTCTGAAGGAGAACCAGGATCTCACCAGCTAGAACAGCTTCTCAGCACAGCCCAGGGGCTAGGCTGGTTGGGGCAGGGATGGTGAGGTAGTGTAGTGAGCAAGTAGTATGTACAGAAGAGTCCCAAGATGCAGAGAGCAGTGTGGGGCTTCCGTCATCTCACAACAGTGCACGACTCCAGCGGTGTTCTCCTGCCAGTCTCTTCTGCTCATAGCTCACCAGCCAGCCAGCATAACAAGAGAAAATCACCATCCTCTGTGACGGATGCTCCTCTCATTCTTCACCACAGGAACTTGGGTAGCTACTCCAGACATAGTCTCTGGCTTTACTAGCTCCCTTGTATAACACAGTGCGCATTGAATCAATCAGAAAACCTCTGAATAATTTCATCTCCATGTGGAGAATCCATTCTTTCTCTGACTCTTGAAGCTTGGCTGACACACCCGGCTATCCTTTCCTAGTTAATAGGTCTATATAGAAGATTATCCATTATTAATACTTATGCAAATATTGGCATTTATGGCTCATGAGAAAAGTTACTTGTCATATGTTTTTTATGTGTTACATCATTCAATAGTACAATGATGTTAATTCATTATATTTATAGACAAGGAAACTGAGGCTCACATAAATAAGTTACCTGTCTAACTTCACTCAGATAGTACAGTTTCAAACACTGGTTGTGGTTATTCCAAAGCTCGTTGTCTTTTATACATTCAAAGTCATCCTGGATAATATACTACTAATGTATGTTAAAGTCATGTCTACATCTTACTCCAGCTCCTCTATTTTGTTTGTTCTCTCTGTCCTTCTATCTCTTCCTCTCTACTCTCCCCCCCCGCTCTTTCTCTCCTCCACCCAAAATTTCCCTTAATGATTCTCAGACTGTGTGCTCTATATGGCTTCTTAGCTTTGCTTGCTTATCTGACTTGAATGGCCCTGGTTTTCAGTGGAATACTCTCCCACCATGCTCTGCTTCTATGAAATGCCACCAACTAGACTCATTCTTGGACCCAACAAGAGGAGGCAAGATTCTGTCATTTTGCCTAGCAGCCAGGATTCCTGTTTCACCCCTTCTCGGCCGGTCAGATTCACAAAGCAGGGGACTTTACTGCTCATATGTCAGAGACAAGGATTAAGCTATGTTGCTGACTCCAAACCCTGATGCATTATCTTCCCCAACACTGTTTTCCAGCCACCCCAGGAGATTGTTGGTGAGGGTTAGTGAAGTCCTCTGCCTTTTCCCATGACTGAGCCCATGCATGAAGGCTCAGGAAAGAACAACAAGTAACTTTTCTCATGTGTTATGTGACCAGGGACACTGTGCGGTGAGGCTTCCCTTTCATGCGGTCTGTGTGCCTGTCTTGATGACTGTTAGATATCCTATATCCCCACCTTTCTGCACACATAGAATTATTTCTTCAGCAAACATTGAACTCCTACTTGTAAGCTAGTCTGTGCTTTAGGCATGGATACAGCATGGAGAAGGTAGACAGGGCTCATCTCATACTGGCCTCACCAAGGACTTGGATAGCAAGCTCAATGTCACTTTGGAAATATGTCTCTCATAAGCCTTCAGATGCACTATTTTCATCATTGTACAGTTCTGGAAATTTGTCCAGGAGCTACCCTTTTCTCTCAATCAGGCCATTATGCATTGGACACAGATTACTTTGCTAGTATTATTTTTTGCTATTTCATTCTCATTCATTAATTTATTTTTAAGTAAAGAGCCAAGTTAGTATTCACTTTTCCCCCTAAGTAGCTAACCCATTGTTCTACCATCTTTTTTTGACAGCCAACTCCCACTGATTTGAAATGTATATCAACTAATAATACTCATTTAAGTATATTTTATATTCTTTATTCCATTAATGTATCTGTAATTTTCCATTACCAATATGTTTTGATTATGGTAATTTTGTAATACATTTAATTATGTTTTCTGTATTGACCTTTCTTACCTTTCCCATTAATCTTCTGTGGAATTTCCTGACTATCTGGACATGTTGTGTGTTTTTACATGTAATGTTTAAAATTAGCTTATCTAATTTCAAAAATACCTGTTTCTATTTCTATTTAGAGTAATTTTGGGAGAATTTACACTTTTATCATGTTGAGTCATACCTTACCTAAAAATAGGATATGTGTTTCCATGTATCCAATATATCCAAATAGCTATTTAAATTTTCTTTGAAATAGATTCTGAGACATCTCTAAGCATTATAAGGCTTGGAACAAAGCTGCTAGGTTACTTGCTATTTTTCTGACTGTATTTATTCTTTTTATTTCACCCTCTTAATTGGAATGGGGGAAACAACTGTAGTTATAGCTGTTCAAGTTCTTTCACCTAAGCTGGCTCATTCTCTACATATACTTTCTTTACACACTATTGCTTAAATATAAACTACCTCTAAGAGCATCATAAGGTTCTAATAGGGGCTATTCTTATTTTAATCCTTCTTTTCCTCTATTAGTAGCCTTACTAAACAATTCTATGATTGCTCCAAAGAGGCATCCTGGCTATCTTTAGAGAAACTGTAATTACCAACTATAATCATACATATTTCTGGAAAATTCTTTAAAAGCTCTGGCAATTCCTCTCCTCCTAATCTAGTGCAATCTAAAGTTATGCTTCTTTGTCTGATTTGCAAATGGATTAAGAAATAAATGAATAAGGTGGCCCCTGATATGAGGGACTTGGGGGCTGTCTAACTGTGTGGTGTTATGCAAGAGAGGTTGCATAATATGACAGCAGCCCCAGGGAAAATCTGTAGAGAAAGAGTCTACTTCTTAGGTCATTTGTTTTTCTGGGAAAATTCAGAGTCGGGCTTAAGGCAGACATAATTACTTTGACTTTAATCATGGGGTCAGGGTAGGAAATAAAAAGTAATATTTTCCAAATGGGGGAAGAAAACAGAAAATAGAAGTATAGTCCTTCTGTTCATGAGAGTTCTCTATTGAGGAAGAGGTAATTTAGTTCAGGCTCATAAGCTAAGGCTAGCTCTTATTTCAGAAAGGAAGGGAGAGGGAGAAAGAGATGGAAACACCAATAATGAGAGAGAATCATTGATTGGCTGCCTCCTGCACGCTCCACACTGGGGATTGAGCCTGCAACCTGGGCATGTGCCCTAACCAGGAGGTCACGGTTCCATTCCTGGACCAGGAATGGAACCGTGACCTCCTGGTTCATGAATTGATGCTCAACCACTGAGCCAGCTGACTGGGTGAAGCTAAGGCTTTTTTTACTGGGTAAGCTGATTTAAGTAATGAGTAGTTTTATGTGCTAATGATGCAGTGGTTGCTGTCTCCTCAGTGTCTGGCTTGGCTCCTTGTTGCACTGTGTCCTTCACCTGCCCTTACTCTGCATTTGTCTCAGGGAGTGTTCAAGTACTGCGAACTGCGTGCATTTGTGGAAGACTACAACTTTCTGGACACAATGCTGATCTTTATGCTGTATGGTTGGTCTGCTGTTCCTCTCATGTACCTGGGAAGCTACCTGTTTTCTAGTAGTACTGCTGCCTACATCAAACTCACCCTCTTTAACTACTTTTCAACTGTGGTCAGCATCGTCATTGATTCCATAATACAGGTCATTGGTAAGGACTTTCCACAATTTCCCTTTTCTCCAGGAAATATATTAAATAAATGAGGATGAAGGAGCTAGAGAATAAAATAATAATTGTTAAGCACTTACTTTCCAGGAATTTGAAAACTATGCTTTTTGGAAAACAGCAAATATTTATTGAATATGTGAAAAATAGAAGTTGAAGGAGAGAGGGAGAGAAAGGAAATGGGGAAGAGAAAGGAAGAAAAAGAGAGAGGCACTAGGCCATCTGAAGGAGCTGGGCTTGGTATCACTCTAGTTTCATTAAAGAAAAAGAAGAGTAAAAAACTACAATATAAGTGTGCAAACCATTTATCTCCTTTGAAATGTTCCCCCTCTCCCAGACTTAGTCCTTCAGTTCTAAAATCTTAACAGCGCTCACTTTGAAGTAAAGTAGGGAGATGGGAGGGTGGGAGGTTCTATGGGATGACTTCTGCCTAATTTAATGCAGCACATCATCCTGACCCTTCAAATGAGATTTTTTTCTGAAGAAAACAAGGAAATATGCAACAAATGTAGTTATCATTAAACCCTTTTCCCTTCTTTTGAGACCTTATTTTAGCAGGATTCTAGGAGTAGATTCTCCCTGTCTTCCTTCTCTGATTATAAAATTTGAAGAGAGTGTGACTGCTGGTGATTATCACAAATAGGATTTGTTTGGTTTTAGAACATTCCTTGGTTAAACTTCTGTTTAAACATGAACTTTGAACTGTGTTAATCATTTTAGCTCTGCCTGAAGTGGTCGAACTTTACCAAAAGAGCTTCCAGACTCATTCCCTAACTTTAGGTGTTGGCCTTAAACAAAAGGAAACTTAGTGTGTGGACCAAGCACATTCTTTTGCAGTCTTCTCCAAGAAGCGGTATTGTGCCTGGTGAGGAAGACTTGAGCCCCTGCATAATAAGCCAAGCAGGCGTTATGCATTCGTGCTCATTCCCTGAATCAGTGGTGGTATTGTCAATCACTTTTTTACTACCTATAGATTCTACCTGTGTTCTGTCCTTTTATATGCCACATATGATATTTCGGTAAATGACAGACCACGTATACAACAGTCGCACAGATTATAACAGCTGAATTTCCTGTAAGAAATGGAAGGATATGTCGTTTAGGAAGAATTTTTTCTTTGATTACAGCAATATCTATGGGGCTTGACAATAGGTTCCCTCTCACTCACAGCTCCTCAGTTTTGAGTACACAACTTACATTCCAATCAGTCAACCACTGACCTGTTTCAGCACAGAGGAGCCTGTCCCCCCAACACTAATTTTCAAAAGGTGCTACAACCCTCCCAGCTCTGGCTTGATGGTCTTCAGAGCACATTATTATAAATTCTTCGTTGAGGACATAAGATCTGGTACAAGAACACAGACGCACAGGAACTACCTCAACTAGTACGAAGTGCCACTGACACTTCAGTAAAAGGTTTCTGTGGCATTTTGGAGCCAGCCCATCCCTGTACTGTGAAATATTTTCAGGTTGTACTGATGTCAAGCATAGGTAAGTTTTATTTCTTTAATAAATTCAATGCCAGAGAGAGCCTGTTGTGCCAGATAGGGTCAATGGAACAAAAAATCAAATTTCCAATATCAAAATATTGAATCCTGAGTTCTATCCCTCTCCATTTTAAACACCATCTTTTTTATGGATACCACGAAGTTTCTTAATCTGACCACTGCTCCAGCATGCAAGAGCCAAAACCATAGTGCCATGACACCCCCGAAGTCCTTCTCTCTCCACCTCGGTTTCATATTCTTACTGATCTTCAGGGCCCCTCAACTCCCTCCTATTACTGTTATGGTGACCTGGTCCTCACCCAGCCAGTTTCTCCTCACTATTTCTAGTCAATTCACCCCACAATCTATCTCTGAAATCTCCCTTCATGATAAGTGCCCTTCTCTTTAACTCTATAATTGATAAATCCATGTTACAAGCTATCAAGATGAACAAGCTTAGTGACTTAAATAATGAGTGTTTTCTCAGGGATCATCTGCTAGATTGGTAATTATCTGAGAATTGTTTAGTTATCTTGAGGAAGTTTATTATGGGAGGTTCATTACTTTTTTATAATTAATCTATCCTCTTTTATTTAATTTTTAATTAAATTAATTGTGGTGACAGTGGTTAATAAGGTTACTATTAACCAAGTGTACATTTCTATGATACATGATCTATATATTGCATTGTGTGCCCACAACCCAAAAATCACAGGCAATGAAATTTCTGACTTCACTAAAGTCTTCATAAGTAATGTGTTAGTGATGCTTCCCAGTTACAACTTTGCAATGAGTGTCAGCAAATTCCTTGATGACTATGAAGTAAGAAGACTGTGTACCCAAGAAATTCAAAACATCTATGTGGACTGCAGGAAAAAATGTGAGTATTGGGACTCTCCATGTTGCTAACCACAACCTATTCCTGTCCAGACTTCCACATTTAAGCTTAGATAAGAAAATCAGAAAAACGTGTTTATCCTCCAATGGATAGGCTTGCCATTTTGAGTGTTGAGTGTTTTGTGTACCAAAGTTACTTTCGCAGACTGGGGCGGGGGGAGGGAGGGATGAAGCCTCAAAATAAAATCCAAGATAAATTTCATGAAGTCACAACCAGATTTTGAATGAATTACTACTACTACTACTCACTCACCTACTATGTGAAAATAGCTTAACATTATTTTGAATATTCCCAGCACTCTTCGAGTTAGCTAATATTATCACAATTTTATTCCCAATGAGGAAACTGAACTCCTTACTTAAACTGGATATTAAATAAGTTCCCTGGGACACTAAGCTTTAAGTGTCACACAGATAAAAGAGAGGCAAATTCCCAGAAAGATCAAAATGAGGAAAAAACAAAGGCATTCTATTAAATTTTCATATTTTAGGCTGATTTCATGTTTCAGACTGATTCTAAAAATTTATAAGCCTATTTACTGTGTGTGTGTAATTTGTTGTAGAACCAAATAATTTATATGCAGCCACAGAAAGAGAAATGTAATTTTATTTTACTAAATCAGTGCAGGATAAAATATAATTATTAGGGTCAAATAAATTATATTTTCTTAAAATCTCTGAATAATAAAAATTATGTCATATTTTAGTTTGCATCATATTTGGATTGTAAAATCCTCTCTCTGCTTTTTAAAAATAGCTCTATTGAGTTATTATTAACATACTGTAGTCACCAGGTTTAATTAACCTGTTGGATGGAAGTGGGGGAGGGCTTGTTGGACAGTGTTTATAAAGTCTATAGTAGCGGTCAGCAATGTCCTAGGCCTTCACACTATTATTGAATTAAAAATTTAATTAATTTATTTCATTTATTATTTTAATTCACTGTTCTGACCTTCAGCTTCCCCTGTGTTGTGTATTCCTTCTAATGTGTTCTTTATAATGTTACTAGTATGTCATTCTTTATTTCTGACTGGTCTTTTTCCATAGTTACTATATCTTCTCTCATGCTGTTGAGCATCCTTGCCATCATTATTCTGATCACTATATCTGATAAATTTATTATCTCCATTTCATTTAGTTTTTCTTCTGGAGAATTCTCTTGTTCTTTCATTTAGGGCTTACTGCTGTTTTTTGTCTTCCCATTTTGGTTGCCTGCTTGGGTTTGTGTCTATGTACTAGGTAACTCTGCTATGACTCCCAATCTCTAGTGCAGGACAATGTCAGATGCTGTGTGTAACCGGCCCTGAGTACCCTCTTTGGAGCTATCAGCGACCCACAGCTGGTAGCTCCCTCTGCTGGGTCTGGGTGCCTGATATGGATCAAGGTTAGCTTTTCCTAGCCCTGGGTCCTGACTTATATCAGGCAATGACTCAAAAGTCTCTGATCTGCCTCTGCCTGCAATCCGATTGTTATTCATTCTTGATTAGCCTTGGGCTATTGCCCACCGGCTGGGGAAAGATATTTTCCAACAGGTTGGGGCAACTTCTTCCCCAAAATGCAAAAGCTTCCTGGATGGTAAAGGTCTGCCCGAGAATGATGTCCTCTGGAGTATGAAGGGATGACTCAGCACTGGAAACCCGGGTGTCTACCTTTGAGGTCTAACCCCAAATCTGGATTCTGCTCACACGGCTCCAGTCCACTCTGCCCTCCCTCTGCCAGAGCCCAAGGTATGTGGCTGCACACGAAATTTTATTCATTGGCCCTTTATGAGGGTGCCTGCATTTCCAGCCATCTCTCCCACATGTTGTGTGGGCCTTCTCAGTTATGGTTCTCTAGACTGGGAGGCCCAGCTTTGGGGTTAGACCCCAGAGTTCTCAATGAGAAACTCTCCCTCCTAGATGAAATATCTCTCTGGAACTTCAGTTGCTGTCTATGGGAGCGTGGCCAGCCCTTTCATGCCTCCTCCCCTCCTACCAGTCCCTATGTGACTCCACTTTATGTCCTTGATTATTATGGTTCTCTCCAGTTAGTCTTCAGTTGATTATTCAGGGTGGTTTTTCTGTATTTTAGCTGTAATTTCAGTTTAGTCCTGGGAGTGTGTCAGTGTAGCTCCCACTTACTCTGCTGCTATTTTAAGGGTGTCTTTTGAAGCATAAAAGTTTAGAATGTTGAAGGGGTTCAAGATGGCTGCAGAGTAGATGGAAGTTACACTTGCTTCCTCCCAGGACCATATCAGAAGATTAGCTAAAGTATGGGAAAATCAACCGAATAACTATCTGAAGACTAGTTGAACAGAAGTGTTATAACTAAGGATTGAGAGTAACATCCCACAAAACCTGTAGAAAGGGAAGAGCCACAAAAAGGCTGGCCTTACACCAGGTGTGCTAGGAGAGAATCCAGAAGGATATCTCAGGTAATGAGATTCCCCCTGGAGAAGGGAGTGGCCTCGGCCCCAAGCTGGGCACCCTAGCCTGGAGAACTAGAAAATCAGCAGGAATTTAACTTTCCCTGGTGAGAAGGGAAATGGCTTTCTTAAAGGGCCAGTGCATAGAATCTCAGTCACATCACTCACTCTCGGCTCTAGCAGAGGCAATAGTGGCTCTCAGTAGACCAGAGTCATAAAAAGAGAAATTGAATGGCATTGCTAAGGAAAGAGAACTGGAATGAGAGTAGCAGGTGCCCTGTGCTGGGTTGGGTTCCTTGCCCATCTAACTCATAGATGTCATCTTCAATAAAAACATCTCAGGCCAGAAAGAATGCTATGAAATATTCAAAGTGATGAAAAACAAAGGCCTACACCCAAGAATACTCTACCCAGCAAAGCTACCATTTAAAATTGAAGGAGAAATAAAGAGCTTGCCAGAAAAGAAAAGGCTAAAGGGGTTTATTACCACCAAACCAGTATTGCCAAAAAGGTAAAAGAAACTTCATTAAGAAAAAGGAAAACAAAAGAAGAGAAACATAATTATAAAAATAAATTGGCAATAAATACATACAAATTAATAGTCGCTTTAAATGTTAATGGATTAAATGCTCCAATCAAACGACACAGGGTACCTTTGGCCAGTGTGCCTCAATTGGTTGAACCATCATTCCATGAATTGAAGGGTGGGGGGGGTTCAATTCTCATTCAGAGCATATACCCAGGTTATAGGTTCAATGCTCAGTTTAGGATGTGTATTGGAGGCAACCAAATGATGTTTCTCTCACACATCAATGGTTATCTTTCTCTCTCTTATTCTCCCTTCCTCTCTCTCTTTCTAAAATCAACTTTAAAAAACGTATTCTTGATCAAAAAGCAACCATGTTTGTTACATTTGTTGCTTGGTGTTAAAAAAAAGAAAAGAAAAAAAAAGTATTCTTGATTGAGGATTTTTTTTAAAAGACACAGGGTAACTGAACAGATAAGAAAACATGACCCATATATATTCTATCTACAAGTGACCCACCCAGGAACAAAAGATTCACACAGCTTTAACCGGTTTGGCTCTGTGGATAGAGCATCAGCCTGTGGACTCAAGGGTCCCAGGTTCGATTCCTGTCAAGGGCATGTACCTTGGTTGCGGGCACATCCCCAGTAGGGAGTGTGCAGGAGGCAGCTGATCGATGTTTCTCTCTCATCGATGTTTCTAACTCTCTATCCCTCTCCCTTCCTCTCTGTAAAAAATCAATAAAATATATTTTTTTTAAAAAACATTCACACAAACTGAAAGTGGATGGATGGAAAAAATATTCCATGCAAATGAAAATTTAAAAAAAACAATGCTGGGGAAGCAATACACATATCTGACAATACAGGCTTCAAAGCAAAGGCCATAATAAGAGACGAAAACAAGCACACACAGGGAGAATGCCATGGAAAGATGAAGGCAGAGGTTGGGGTGATGCAGCAGAAGCCATAGTACTGGAAGTCCTAGCCAAAGATTGTCAGCAACCACTGGAAGCTAGGGGAGAAGCCTGGAACAGATTCTTACAAACTCCAGAAGGAACAAACCTGTCCACACCTTGAAGGACTTCTAGACTCCAGAATTATGAGATAGTTTCTATTGTTAGACTTCCCAGTTTGTGGCATTTTGTTTGTGGCTGCCCTAGTAGACTAATAAAGCATACCAGGGAGGAAAAAAAGACAAAAACAGGCCATCACATAATACTGAAGGGAATTTTACTAAACATTCAAGAAGAACTAACACCTATTTTCCTCAAACTATTCAAAAGAAATCCAAGAGGAGAGTACACTTCCAGGCCTTTTTGATGAAGCTAGCATTATCCTAATGCCAATACCAGATAAAGACATTACAAAGAAAGAAAATTACAGGCCAGTATCCCTTATGGGAACATACTAGTACATGCTAAAATACTCAGCAAAATATTAGCAAATTAGAACCAGCAATACATTAAAAAGATCATACACTATGACCAACTGGAATTTATTATGGGAATGCAATAAATTGGTATGATATTCAAAAATCATTAAATGTGCTACATCACATAAACAAAATGAAGAATAAAAATTACATGACCATATCAATAGATGAAGATAAGCATTCCACAAAATCCAACACCCATTTATGATAAAAACGCTCAGCAAAGTGGGAATAGAGGGATGATAACTCAACATAACAAATGTCATATATTAAAAAACCTATAGCCAACATCATACTCAATGGGCAGTTATTCAACATAGTACTGGGAGTCCTAGCCACAGCGGTCAGATAAGAAGAAATAAAAGGCATCCAAATTGAAAGGAGTAAGTAAACTGTTACTATTCACAGATGGCATGCTATTGTTCATAGAAAACCCTTAGGATTCCACCAAAAAACTATCAGACCTAATTCCACAAAGTAGCAGAATACAAATTTAATTCACAGAAATCAGTGGCACTTTTATACATCAATAATGATCTCTCAAAAAGAGAAACTAAGAAAACAATCCAACTTACTATTGCAACAACAACAACAAAAAATAATGTACCTAGGAATAACT